CTGTCTCATTCATCTGTTTGGAAACTTCTGACCTTGCAGCCAAAACTTAACTCATTCTACTCAGTATTCACCGTGATGCTGAAGTGTAAGATACCTGCAAATGTAAACACTACCACTTTTATTAATAAAAGCAAATACAGTGTTTTTAGGGCACATTTGCATCACTGTAGTTGAGGTTGTGTCAGTATTTCCATTGTAAACCTATGGAGGGTCTCTACCTTGGCACTAAATTGCCCTAAGCTGAACCTTTGCCATACAAGGCTTCTACTCAAGCATGATTCGGTGGGTTGGTTTTTAAACAGTTTTCCAACACAAACTCTTGTTTCTGTTTTAAGTTATACGACTGTTTTGTTGGATGGGGGTTGGTTTAAAAAGAAAACAACAACAGCAAAAAAAAAACCCAACAAACAAACCTGGTTCAAGATTGTTTTTGGCACTTCTGTAACTCAGAAATGGTTTTGATTTTAAAACAACCTTCGGCAAGCCAGTAACCTACAATATGGTCTGATCACTTTGGGTATTTTGTAAAAATAATAATAAATTGTAGAGATGTTGTGGTTTCAAAATCAGCTACTGTGCATTTGCAGTAACTTATTTCAACCCAAGAACTTTTAGTAATTTTTTCCATCAGAACACACGTTCAATGTGATGCAGCAGAGTAGTGATAACTCCTGAAGGCTTTTTTCTTTTTTAGTAACGTGGAGAGGCAAAGCCACCACAGACTAAAAAAGGATTCAGCTGCCTCTGAAAGCATCAAAAACTGCTCTCTTAAAGGCTGAAACTGGAGCTGTGTAAGTTGTTAGGAGCAGACTTTGATGCAAAAGCAGAGGAAGGCATCCTGGATCAGCTGTCAGACAGGAGCCCTGAGGGCTTATCTTCATTTATCTAAAAACTATTTTGAATTGTGGCATTGAGGATAGGATTGAACTGAGGGTATGTCCTTAACTCCAGAGGAAGGGAAGCTGACTCTGCTCCACTGTGCTGCATGGAACTGAGACCTGCAGGATGGTTTTGTTTTACCAGTAAATCTATGCACAGAAATATTAATGTTCGTCACTTCAGAATCTGAGCACCTTGTCATTCGTCGTGGCACGGTATTCCTGTCAGTGGTGTAGGATGTTTTGTATTATTTATCCTATTTTCCAGTGTCAAAAATTATGTACCAGTAAAAACAAAAGACAAACACAGGAGATTGACCCCAGATCTGGAGGCAGAGCCCGTGACTGAGTGCCAGTCCAGTGCCTTAGTGACAATACTGTTGGTTATTGGTGCTATACAAATGTCTAAAAGAGTGATAAAGTTGTTATAAAACTCCATAAATTACTCAGGAAGAGAGTAAGTTCTCTTCTTTCCCCAGCTGTGTGTAATATGCTGTGTGTGTTCCTAACAATGCTGGCACTCATGAGACCTCTTCCATGGAAGCAGATGATAAAATTCCTACTAACTGTGATAAGGATCAGGGCTGTAGATTACTGTCAGTGGAAATCTCACACAGTAGCAGGTCCTCATCCCTAAAATACATGTTGAGTTTCTTTAACAGGAAAAATATTTACAAGCAAACATCTGTTTGCAGTCCAAATCCAAACTGTACCCTTCTTCCTCAGCTTGATATCTCTGAAAACTCATCCATTGGGAAAAAAAATCTTGCTGTTCTATGACAAACTTTGAAGCTTCTTTGTAAACAAAATAAGCTACAAATGGGGATTTCTGAAGCTCTGCTGAAGAAAACCTTACACTGAAAAATCTGTCTTCTGACTGACAGGACAAATTCTGAGGAAAACCAGATTTAATCTCGGTCATAACCAGTTGGTTTCAATCCTGTGAGTGGATGGTGTCAGTTATGGGTAAATTGTATTTTACTGTAGTGCAGAGATTGCTTAAATTTCAGCCACAAGCACTGGCTTTGTAATTAATAATTTTCAGCCCTGATTCTCATCTTACTAAACGTTCAAACTGCTTTTTATCCTGTCTACTTTCAGTGTGCTGAGCTGAGCAAAACGGGTGCAGTTTAAAGCCCAAGTCTTACCTGGGAGGAGGTGGGGAGGCAAACTAATCTCCCACTGCACTGAACAAAAAGATAAGGTGGGGGTTTTTTTCTGACTTCTCTAACCTACAACCATAGCCTGGTTGTGTGGAAAAAATAGAGAGTTCCCTAAGGTAACAATAGCAATGCTCATTGATACCTCTGCAACATGGAGATCTGATCAAATATGTAATATATAATTTTCTAAAAAACCAACAAAACAAAACTAGAATTTACAGATTTTCCTTTTTTTTTTTTTTTTTTGCCCCCCACTTAGGAAGTCTGCCTCAAACATCTTTACTGACAGGACAAAATAAAACCTTTTTAACATTGTCCCAAACAGTGAGAATGATAAGTTTTTGAGGGAGAAGGTTATGACATTAGGGGATTTTATGTAACAACATGCTTTCTAAGGCTGGGCTACTGGTAGACAAATGTAAACAAATTCAAAATTAAAATGTGAATGTATCTCTTCAATTTACCCAGTTGTTTTATTAAATGAGTTGGCTAATTTATTTTTTTAATATACTACTGCTCAAGTTTGGAGAAAGACAAGCTTAGGACAGAGTAAATTCTGTCAATTCTGTTCTGTTATGCAAACTAATGTTTTTTAGGCTGTGAATTTTATGTGAATTATTAATAGTGAAGTGTAGTGTTTCTATCTGTAGTTTCTTGGTATTTGATATGACTTTGGAATTGTATCATTCTTACAACTAAAATGGCAGAGGTCAGGCAGAGGAAGGAGCTGCTGTGTGAGGGGTAGGAATTGCCACATCAGGCTTTGGAGGGGGCCCATTCCAGTTCTTTTTTTCCACATTATCAGTTTCTTGTTGGCAGGGTCAGAAGAGCTTCCAGAAGAAGACAAATTAGGGGTTGGGGGATAGAACCAACATGACTGTTTGAGACCTCAGAGTAATAATGGAAAATATTTCAAACTTGCTTTAAGGTAGAGCCCCAGGGGCAGTGCCTGTCCTGAGGGGGTGTGTGATGGGTGATGTGGAGCTCAGGATTTTTAATAATCTCTGTTCTCTTACGGTTTGAAGGCCAACATCCAAAATGAATTAGCACATTTCATGCCCGTTTTGGTGCTCACCTTGAGTTCTGTTTCTCACAGGGCAAAACTCTGCTGGGCTGCAGAGGCTCGTCTGTGTAAGACAGTCTGGAAGCCCAGAGCTGCCACAAGCAATGGGCTCTTGGGAACCTGTCTGGGGTTTAAAAATAGGGAGTTTACAGCCAGTTGTTCTGTGCTACAGCATGGCCCAAAATCTGCTGCCTTTGGATTCAGCTGCTTTCTCCTGCCCTCACCCCCCTTCCTCTTACAATGATGTGGTTTGAGAAGAGAATAGAGCAGTTAAGAAAGTTATGAGACAACCTCAGCCAAAGCTTAAAGGAGACAGGGAAAGCTAAACAGTCCTAAGTCCATCACACTGGACACTGAAAAATAGATTTAAGGGGGAAATCCTTCATTCCCCAGGTGAGTGATCCAGTTTGGGATCATTATACAAATTTTGCAGGTCAGAGAATGTATCTCTCTGAAAGACCAGGATATCTCCAATTTAGGAACTGCAAAAAAACCCACTTGGTGCATCCATTCTAGAGCTGGGACGGTGAAGGGTGAGTTTAATGATCAGTTTACGAATCAGCTGGAACTTGCTTTGAAGCAAGAAAACTTTTCCACTATAGGCTCATTTTGGAAAGTACTTGGGGCGCTGTGAGGCTCTGCTTTGAAGCAATTCTCAGTATATAAATATAATTCCAGCTTTTAAGTTGATGTTTGAAGGAGACCAGAACTGACATCACGTCAGCAACCTCCGACCCACCTTGTTTTGTCTCGCAGTTACTTCTGTTACCTGGCGAAGTGTCACGTGTTCAATGTCTGGAAAAACACTGTTGTATAACTGTGAATCTCCAGGTACAAAAAAAATCCTTCATCTTGAGGTTCTGCTGGAGAAGGAAGAGCTCTTTAGCCAAAACTCATTAGCTTAACGATGCTGCTGTAATTTCCTACCCCTTTTTGAAAGTTATAACCTTTACCTCCAGTTGAATGTATTGGCTGCTTTGTAAAGGGCTAATGATTACAAAATACAAATTTATGCTAAAAGAATTTGTAGAGGGCAAGGAGCAGAGGGAATGACAGAGAATGCCAGGGTGGATATTTTTAAAAAAACGTATGAATAAAAGACAAACAGTTTTTGTTGGAAATCGGCTCTTCTGTTTGGGATTTGTCTCTTATTCCAGGAAGGAACCAAATGAAGTTGGATGATCAGCTGTGTTATTACATTCAGCCCTTTAGGCAGCAAATCTTGAAGTATAGTTGTTAAACAATGTGCTCAAAAATCAAGCAAAAAATTTGATAGTTGGGTGGAATTGAAACTTGAGCATTTGATACTTGGTTCATTTTTCTGGGTTTTTGTGGGGTTTTTGTGTGGATTTTTTCTCTAGATCCGGCTCTTCACACACATTCACTTTCCAGAATGCCTTTACTGCTTCCTCAAAGCATGCAGAGACACCAAGACTCCCCTTCATAGGGTATTTATTGGGCTCAAAATTGTATCTCTGTCTCATAATTTATCTCAAGGTTTTGCTCTCTGCCTCATCACTGCCTCATCAAAATCTCATTAGATAGGAATTGGGACTCAAGAATATTTTACACACAAAATGTACTCAAATAATGCATTTAGGGAAAAATCTGTTGCTTTAATTTGCAGAATAATAAAATCTTGCAGGGACATTTAGGTAAATCTAAGTGCTTTTACTTTGAACATTTCAGTGAAACTTTGTAAAACAAATCCATATGGGAGATCACAGTTAAACCTAAGAAGACAGCATTGTTTCCATTCAAAATTGTAAAAGTTTAGTTTGCAAAATCAACTTATGATACATTTAATGTTTCATCACGGTGTAAGTGATACCTTGAAACCGTTGGGTTTGATCTGATTTTGTCTGGCTGTTGGCTCCTCAACTTTTCTACTCAACTAAGCGGGAAGTTTTGTAGTGTATTTACCATCCAAGTCCTACAAGTCCAACTGTTGTCACTACACACAAATTTTACCTGCTCTGAAAACACTTTTTCCTGAGGTTCAGACATACAATTTTAGGCCATAAGTTCTGGGCACAATGAAATTCCTCAGACTGCAGATCCAAATATTCTCCCCAGGAGATGCACAGCAAATTCCAGTCATGGGAAGGAAGCCTCTCCTACCTGTAGAAAAACATCTGTCATAGAAACTGTATTTAGTTGAGCCTTCTGTAAAGAATTACGATCTCCTCCTAAGCCTCAGGAAGTCTCAGCCTTGGGGATTTCCCATCCAGTTTCATTGGAATGTTAGTTAAGTTCTGGCCTTGCTTCTTCTCCAGTTTTAAGTTTTCCTGAACCTTCTGTTAAGATACTATAACAGTTACTCTGAAATCACCTTCAGAGAACACGTCCTATACCTAATTACACATCTTATAACATCATTACAAGCCAAAAAAAAAAAAAAAAAAAGAGCTGATGAAACCCAGGAAGTGTATGGATGTTTCTTACGAGACTCCCAGAAAATACTTTTTCCTTTCTTGTTTTAGGATAGATTAAATTCAGATTTTTCTTAGGAGCTGGTTAATCACACTGTCTGTTCCTAGCCCACTGTTATTTTCTCATGTCTACGGGATGGAAATTGCCCGCTAACTAAATGGAGATGAGCCAACAACTTTTTCTCAAGGATATTTCCATTGGCTTCCAGCCTCAGCCTGTCACTTCATTCTCAGTTTGTTCCTCATAAAAAAAATGGCCAGTGATTCCACGGGCGTTGAAATGTCCCTCGCTGTCTTCCTGACTGCAGCGTCTGGCACAGGTAGGGAAGGTGTCTGTTGTGCCTCTGCCTTAATCCATGCTTTTTATTCTGGGAAAGGCTCTTTTCCTTTCTTGTTGGCAGAGCAAAAAGAACATTATCCTGGGCTCACAGCAGTGCTGAAGCAGTGTTTTGGGAAGGGCTGGTTCACCACTGTAGGGCAGCACACGACAGCACAACTCGCTCTGTGCTGCACTCCAGGTGCTGCTGCACATTTGTTACTCTGACATCTGAAGGGCAGTAAATCCTTTCATCAGCACAGACACTTGAACAAGGACCATGGCTGGTGAAGATCCTACAACAACTTATTTGTGAACAGGGTTTATTGTGGATTTTTTTTGGCCTTTCCTAACAAGCAATCTCATGGACTTGCATGGAAGACAATGTAATTCCTTTTTACTAGTGTTCAGTTAGAAACTGAATGAGAATAAAGGACCATTTAAATGATTAATCAGCAATGCTCTTGGCTGCCCTCCAAATCCCAGAACACACCCTCACCCTCCCCTTTCTCACAGTTAAGCTCTTATACAACTGAAGAACAGGAGTGGATCTGAAGAGAGACAAAGGGACTCTGTTTCTCTCACATGGTCTCAGTAATGCCCATCTCCTGCCTGAGGCCACATTCTGTGATCAGTTTTCATTTTAGACTTAGCCCCTCTTCATCTGTCTGTAGTTTCTAGTCCTAGTTTATTAACTCTTTTTTTTTTTTTTTAACATCAAAGACTTCAAGATTTTTTCTTAGACTTAAAGTAACATCCAAACATTTTAAATGAAATGAGAAAAGGCAGAAATGTTACTAATGTTATTCTATGGCAAGTTTTGGATAATCAGAGCTACACCCATGCTGGGCCTCAAACTTTATCACTAAAATCCGGTCCTAAAGATCTTACTACTTCCGTTCCTCAAAGTTATCCTTCCTTTTTTTCCTCCCTACATGTTAGTTTTTCAATTCTGCCAAAAGTTTTATTATTTCTATCAACTAGCTGTTGTTCATCATCCTTTTCACACTTCACAAAGTGCCAGGGAGGGAACTGCTGTTACACAGCTGGAGCCAGAAGAGCAACACATCCCATGGATCTGCACATCCCGTGGATAACACAACTCATGGAGAACACATCCCATGGAGCTGCACATCCCATGGAGCTCCACATCTCACGGAGAACACATCCCATGGAGAACACATCCCATGCAGCTGCACATCCCATGGAGCTGCACATCCCATGGAACAGCACATCCCAGGGAGCTGCACATCCCACGGAGAACACATCCCATGGAACAGCACATCCCAGGGAGCTGCACATCCCATGGAGCTGCACATCCCATGGAGCTCCACATCTCATGGAGAACACATCCCATGGAGCTGCACATCCCATGGAGCTCCACATCTCATGGAGAACACATCCCATGGAGCTGCACATCCCAATTTTCCCTCTTCCCTTGCAATTCCCCTCCGATTGTCGGCGCGCTGGGAGGCTCTGGGAGGTCTGGCCTGGCAGGGCAGGGCAGGGCAGGGCAGGGCTCCTTTCCCCTGACTTTGCTCCCCGCCGACAGTGCCGTGTCCCGCCGTGTCCCCGCAGGCCGTGCTCGGGCCGATCCCCGGGCCCGCGGTGTCCGAGCCGCCCTCCCCGCCATCCCCGCTCCCCCTCC